ACACACAGCTGATCTAGTTTTATGCAACATGCTATAGTTACCTAACACTTGCAGTTATAGGGGTTACCTGTTTAACTGCTACGTTATACTATTTTTACCCTTGTAAAGTTCACTAGAACCCTAGTACCTATCATCACGACATCTTCTCCATCATCCCTTACTAACCGCTACTCAGGACTGACAGAACTCCCCCAACTTCCAATCCAGATAGCCTGGTATGGTATACTTATGTATTCTTTTTCTCTAGCGATTCCAGCGGCCTGGTTGGTCATGTGCTCCTCTACACATCTTGACATCTGTTTTATCTGCCTATCTCTTTGGGGGTGTTTTATGGGCTTCCATCAGTCTGACCATACCATCAAAAGTTCATGCTACTTCTTTACTCAGAAATTTTCAAGTGGGCTTCTGACTCTTCGGTTCCTTAGTTTTACTGCGCCCGGTGGTCTTATCATGGGTTTGTACCGAAGTCTTATGTGACACCGGTTATTAACATTCCTTTATATATGTGTAACGTTACACTTGGCATAAATGCCCCGAGCTTCCATTCAAGATGGTGCGACTTAAGGTTACAGATACACAAATCCAACTGATCGTCAAGAGACAGTTTGCCATAATACAGGTTAATTTCCAAATTTTGTCGTAGATGGGATTTGAACCTTAGACCTGCCACTTGGAGAATGACAATCCAACCACTACACTAGGATCGCCATCCTCTTATTTGTATATTATGTTATCGTCTTAGCAATATAATTTTTTATAATAATAAAGGGAGGAGGTCTGCTAGGCTCCCAATTTTTTATTTTTACGCGATAGTGTAAACAAGTATTGGTCATCAGTTATACTGTTATTTCGATGTTTAGATGCAAAAGCATCCTTTTTTCAAGAGACGAATATCTAACTCATGTTACGTTGAAATAAAAATTTTATTATTTGTGCTTGAATAGGTGTAACATCCGTTGTTACAGTGGCACAATAAGACAACTCTATTTTATTGGTTAAGGTGTGACATCAATGTTACAGTCAATCATATAAATTATACAGCCTGGGATAAATTTAAAATCATTGTATATCTGAAAATTAGGAACTGGATTATGTATACATCCTAGGTGGTTACTGGTGAGATAATAGGACTCATCATTGGTGAGCTTTTTCTTTCGTATCTTCTGTCACGATAATAATAGCCTCTATCGCATCCACCATATTCATCATATCTATCGTACCCATTATATCCATCATCATCTGATTCATCTAGCCTCTCTTCTTCAGAATCATTGTCATAGCTACAATCACTATCATCGACTATCTGAACTTCATTAGTCTCTTTCTCTGACTGAGGTATGGGATCATCAAAACACGCCTTATCATCATAATATACCTCATCATAGTCATCATGATTCTCTACCTCAGCTGGAGTGATTTGAGGCATGAATGATGAATTACCTAAAGAATTAGAGCCATGTGTAATAGGAATAGGTGTGATTAATTCGCTTACCTCAGCTGAATTTTGGCCAGGGCCCCTGGCTGAAATCTCAGTCATGTGACTTGATACTTCTTCTTCCACATCAATGTTATCGTTATCATTATGCTTGGAGAAATTATCTATAATATCTTGAACTTTATCATTAGTCAACTCAGAAATAGAGTTCGCACTATATGTCATAATATACTTAATATTATCTACGCCTACTTTTTCAAATAATTTATATATCTTTACAGCTTTCTGAGTTTCTTTTGTAAGTTTTTACGAGATATTTCTAGGCGATGCAATCCTGTCTCTTCAGATCGTTGCTTTTGCAACATGGATAGGTGTTCCAACATTTTATCATATATTATCCCCTTTGCCTTTTTTTCTCCTATTTTGCCTTTTCCATCTTGTACAATCGCACTAACCTGGGTTAAAAATTCTTTTTCATAATAATACTAGTGCAAAACCTCTTCCTAATTAGCACGAATTGCGCCATATTCAGCATCATCTGCTTTATCGAATAATTGTGCTAGAGAAATCAATGAATCTGTAGATAAATTTTGGTTGAGACTCTCAATTGAAATCACATTACAAGGAGTAGCTTTGTCACTCGATTGGGCATCATCCTTAATACCATCAGCTATCATTTGTACGATGTTTTCTGCACCTTTCTTCTTATGGCTATTTTGGCCAGGGGCCCTGGCTGAAATTTTTGACTTTCCGAGTTCAGTGTTTCTGAATATCGAAGTTGAAGGAACCGATACCTCAGGTATCACCTCTCCCAGTAAAGTATTATCTAAAGATAAGTTTTGTCAAAGTATCTTTTTCCTAATTATTTCTTTACTAACCTTTTCTTTATATGTTGAATCTAGGAAATCGTCAATTTCCATGTCTTCTGATGATTTAGGCTCTATGAGAATAGGAGATGTGAGATGTTGGTTTTCCGATTCCTGGCATATATCAAAGTTAGATACATCATCAGAATTTGAAGTATTATCAGATATATTAGATGCTGGAGTATCATTAGAATTTTTCATTTTGATAGAGATGGTATTAACTGAAGATTGATCAATTCCCTTAGCATCATCATCTGATTTAACAATAAAGTTATTCTTTTCATCGGTTTGCGATTGCTTCTGTTCCAATTTTGCAACCCTAGCTTTAAGTTTGACATTTTCAGAAGTGGTATCTTTATCATTCTGCTCCAGTTTTATAAATCTGGATTCATGTTCTTTCAAAGCCTGTTTTAATTTTACATTCTCAGCTTTAAGTTCAATGTTCTCAGTCTTGATTTCAAAATTCTCCCTTCTAAGTTCTGCAATTATGGCAATAAGCTTTGAATTTAATTCTCGTAATGAAACAGTTTCGGATAAGTCTTTAGTCTTTTCTCTCTGTGTTCGCATATTTAATATTATATTATATAACTTTATCACAAATGCTCAGAAAAAGATTTTTATTAACCACGTCTTGGCTGTGTCTGCACAAAGTGCTGAAAAATGTTTTGTTATTCTAATGTTTTTTAATTTCAATTATTTTTATAAGATATCTTTTCGAGAGAACCAAACCAGAAGTCATGTGATGAAATTTCAGCGAACAATGTTCGTCAAAAAATGCCAAAAAAAATTTTAAAAATTCTAGATCATATGTGAGTAATGTACATCGAAATTATACAATAAAATAAATTCATGCAAAAGTAAACATGATAATATATGTGAAATCGGCCATCAGGGCCAGCTTTATTAATATCGATATAAAAAAGTACACAAAACATTTCCATTAAAGGGATATGTAGACAGTAGACATCGTACGTTTAACCAAACTGCATGCAAAAAGTAAATATTACTGTATTATGAAAACCAAGAAATCCTGCTTAGTCTACATTTCCCAAGCAGTCATTAAAGAATTAAAAAAACTTAATTGAAAACCAAATTCCACCAACCACTTCAATTTCTATCATTTTTTACAGAAAGTCAGAGAATGAAATGTATCACATTTTGATTTTTGGATGTAGTGATCACAGTAGCCCAGTTTGCATATTATACTGATTGCTTTATTACAAAATAATGCGTAATATATGTAGAAATACAGTTGTCAAAAATAAGTTATTATAAATGATGACACCTATTCTAGATCCTATCTAGAGCAATAATCCTCTATCTGTGTTTTCTTTTTCACACCAGACTTATCTACACACGCCCTATCTTTCAACATACCTACAACCATCCCCAATACCCTTCTTAAACTCTTGCACAATATTTGATATTCCTCAGATTCTTCATTCAAAGCATCTTCAGTAAATTCAATGGTATATGATAATTTACTACCTTGCGAGATCTCGCCCAGACTATATAACAAAAAAAACCAATCTCTTCCAGTTGTTACTACTCTATATAGATAGTCGAAGTCATCATAATCCCTGAACGTATCACTTGCTTTTCATTTTTTCTTGTTCGTTTCATATGACCTCTCAAGCTGGCGGATGTTTTGAGCCATACCCATGGGGACCTGGTGCTGTTTATCCTCTGTAATACAATTAAGTCCTCAGCATCCTGTAATGAAAAATACAGTCATCAGATTCTCTTAGAAAATCGAAGTATAATAAAGAACAAAACTTATCTTAATCGCGTAATCCACTCGCCCAGTACTTTTGTTTCCAACAATTTCATACTGAGGCCTTATACTAAATTTTTTTTGCGTATCATCTCTAGCAATATTGAGAGCAGTATGGAGAATTGCTATGACATATTCATTACATATGGCTTCTAAACTATCCACAGCCAATGTCCCATAATTTTTTAGCCTGACCATAATTTCTGTCATGTAGTATGCGAAATGCTTATTAGAATCTTGAATCTCGCAGGTTACTTTAGCTGGGCAGAGACAATATTAGACTATTCCCGCAAATAATAGTGTATACAGGTTTCAACAACAGACTTACCTATTTTGAACAGTGGAATTGATTCAGTGCTATCACTATCTAGTCCAAATTTTCTCAACACTTCTTTAAAACTTTTGTATAATGAATACGCTCTTAACTTTCATTTACTAAGGTCCTTAGCGAAGTCAGAAAGCCTTGATGCAGGTCCACCTGGCATTTTATAACTGCGAAGCTTTTCTTCGCTTATCTTGAGAAAGTCCTGGCCATTAATTTCCTTTTTTTCTAAAATTTTAATAGCTGTTTCACTAAGGTCCAAGTCTTCCTCTTTCTGTAAAAAATCAATGAGCTCTTTTGTTTTCTACCTTTTGACCACATGGGCTAACGTGGGTGAGTCTTCAGTTGCAGTAGTAAAGGTAGAGGTAGGAGAAGACAACTTGGACATGGTATTTATACGTTTTGTTTAGGTTCGGATGAAGATAGTGTTACGTTCTGGGAAAAGAGTGTGAAACGGATTTATCGTGTGTGATCTCCACATTACATCATTATTGCGCATCTATGTACGTAGATGTATGCCAAAATCACTAATAAGTGGTGTTGGCTTATGACTTATGACCTTTTATAGTTGGATATGACAACCTTTTTTGCCGTTTAAAACTAGAACTCCAGAAATTAATACAAGTAGTTCTAGTAGCTTCATAATAATTTACATTTAAGATCTTTAAGTTTACTAAGAAGTGATAAATGGTATCTTGCCAAAACATTGCGAGAAATTTATAATTTATTCAGTTAAAATTTTATTTCTGGAAAAAATTTAACTCTAAAAAAATCACTAGGTACTATTAATTCCATATCGATATTAATTTTTTGTCACAAAAATTATGAAGAAAGAGTGAAACTTCTTTAAATCTTTTTTTGATATAAGCTAATAGCTTTTCTGGTAAATCTTTGGATAGATTAATTAAGATCTTTTTAGCTTGAGATACCATACATGCTAATATCCAGCCAATATGGATCTGGTTACCACCTCACCATTATGTCCATAATGTAACAAAAATCGTTAATCATTCATTACAATATCTTCTATTTCCTTTTGGTCTAATATTATTTCTTGCAATATCTGTCTATCTTCTTCTGTGATTGGAAAATGAATTTCATTAGGTTTGAAGCCTATGTACTGGGAAACTTGATCATGTAACTCAGCCATTATCAACTCTAAATAATAATTAAAAATTTATATTTATATTTAAAAAAAATATTAACTATATACAATATCATGACTACTTATTTAGCTTATGTAGATATGTGAGATACATATTCATTTTGATACCTCTTTGAGAGCTTAACGCTTAAAGTTCTTTGTTCAGTCAACTTTGGAGATATTCCATTTGATACAAAATTTTTATATGCTTGTATATGCCAATGCCAATATGGCAAACTAGTTATTTTATCAGATAATATCCAACGCTTAGTATCTATAGGGCAAAGAGACTTCTTTTCTAATTCAACCAAAGATAATATATGGTCTTTTGATCAGATACCTACATTCTTAACATGGAATACTTCATTACCAAAGAGACAGTCTCAATAAACTAGAGTCATAGAATCTGCCTCAGTTCGCATAGCCAAATCATTGGCTTCTTGCTCTGTTAATAATGACCTGTCTACTGGATCATCTAGCAAGGACCCTTCTAAAGCTGGCATATAAGAGTTCATAGCCATTTCACTCATACCCTTTTTGCTAACTCCCTTATGCTTAGACTTTGTAGACTTATTTGCCAAAACATAGTGATAAGACTTGACTCGAATATAATAGGATTCTGTAATTACACTGTCTGGAGTTTCATCCTTAAATTTACCAATAGTTGTATCACCATTAAGGTTAAAGAGATTAGGTCATTCTTCCATATCTTTATAGATATTTTCAGTCTCAACTTGAAATATAAAAGAGTCTGTATCCATATATCCAAGCTGGGCTTTATCACCATATTTCTCTTTTACATACCCATACCAAAAGTGATACATGTGAAGTTTGCTAAGACCTAAGACTGATGCTCCAACAATAATAGGCTTATTAAGAGTTATACTAGCTTTTCCTATATGTGCTCCTATAAGTGAAGGACCAAGTTGTCTAGCATACTTAAATGAGGGTTTACGAATCTGGTTAATAAATTTTTTTTCATCTTGCTCATTATTTATAGCCATGAGCTTGACATCTTGATACTTACAAACATTCTCCATAGTTTTACCATATACAGCATTATTTTTGAGTTTGAAAAAGTCATTTAGAAATGTATTTTCAGCTTTTTTGACCTTATTACGTTTTTCTGTATTAAAAGTTATATAGGGGGCAAGCCAATTATCCTGATTGAATGATAAGATCTCTGTAACTTCATCTACTATCATACCTAATTTTACATAGTATTGAAGCTCTTGGTAGTAAATAACATAATCTTCTTATGGACCAAGATGAGGTACTAATTTTTCTGTAGCTGAGAAACGTCCACTATCCAAGTTATCTACAAGCTCTGTAGTATAGGGAAATAACATATTTTTATTTACAACTATGTTTTCTACAGCTGGAGGTAAATCATTCAAATAGTCGTGAGTTTTTAGAGAGAAGTGCACCTTAATATTTAGAAAATATCCTCTTTTTGCATCTGCTTTAGTATTAAGAATCTTTTCAAGATATTTCTTTTGCTCATTTGAATTATCTTCAAGATATTTATAACTTACCTCACATTTATAATTTCTAATAGGCAAATACTGACTCATAGCCCAGTCATAAAGATTTGTTGCATCTACATATGGAATCCATGTTGTTGGTTTAGATGGGTTAAATGCTTTACCCATCTTAGGATTGTTAGCTTTGAAATATTGTTTACATGCCATAGCTATACCTCCATGCTTAGCCTTTTCTATAAAATTATGCATAGCCATATCAGTAAAGAGCTCGATTTTAACTCCTGTCATCTTAAGCATAGCATCCCAAGAATATGCTAGAAGTGAAACATAATGGCTAGGATCGAGTCCATCATATTTCATAGACATTTTTCGCAACTGTGTCCAGACATCAGCAAGACTAAGCACATCAGTTTTAAGATATATATTATGGTATTCATCTAAAGTCTTGCAGTTAAATTCCTTCCATACTTTTTGGGCATGCTCATAATCTTTTTGGCTAATTTTACCATGAAGATATGTACTAAATTCATGAATTGGTGGAAGCTTAGTCTCTAAAAACCTATCCTGTGAATCCATATAATCATAGAGATAAACTCCTTTTCGATATACTAAATCTAATTGATCTTTTGTATAGCCTAGTTTTTTGAAGTGCTCAGATGTTATTGGATGATTATCACCCAAATTTTTTGTAAGACTAGCTAAGCTACTATTCATAAACTGCATGCTATCTATATATTTAAGCTGGCCTACCTTCATAGACTTGTATCACTTAAATGTCTCAGCTACAACCTTGATTTGATGTGCATTAACTAATTTTCTAACAGATTTGCAAACCAAGTGAGAATTATATCCTCAGAAGTTATGAAAGATAACTGAAATTGGAGTTTTCCATGCTTTGATCTGAAGTTTGAGATTACATGTATTGTGAGCGGCTCCTCGGAACTTACCTGTAATATAACAGTGATCCCAAACCTTTATATTTATAGACTTTTCTTGATTAATATCTTTAGTTATCTTGTCAATTTGTTTTGTTAAGGTCTTATAATCTTTTGAATTCATTGTGATATTTTTTAGCTTATTATTAACCCATGATGCCTTATTTTCTAAGCATTTGACTTTATCTTCATCTATAATGAATTTTTCTTTGCATATCCAACAACTATCTGCTTCATTGAATTTCTTTTTGTCTTTGTTGGTCTCAATTTGATCATGTTTTATAGCTAAAACTCTATTAATTTGAACTAATTCCTTATCAATTCTTTTGACAAATTCCTGAGTAGCATTTTCTCCTCTATATAGGAATGGGCTCTATATCTTTCCAGTATCGATCCAGTGAACCAAGTAGCAAAAGCTATTGGCCTTTTGTTCAGCAAGCTTTCGCATTTGCCCTCCATATTTCTCATTGCATTTCTTATTATCAGCCTCAAAGTCAGCTATAATAACACATGGAGCATTGATCATTCGTCCATAGTTCTTAAACTTCTCAAAGTCATTGACATCCTTGATAGGTAATTTGACTCTTTGGGTGGCTTCTCCTAATCCAAAACAATGCTCTTGGTGATATGCTAGAGATTTTTCTGATGGCCAACTTATAGTACATCAGTTGCAAAGATACCTTTTACTATGATGAGCAGTATCTTTAAAAACTAACCCATCTATATTTTTTATCTATAAGAAGTGCTTTTTTTGCTTATACTTGTTTTCTTTAGATTTGGTGATATCTGTAAGAGCCATTAGATATATAATATGTTGTCTATTATAATTTTTGCTTGCTATTACAGGTTTAGAAGTAGCTGTTTCTTTTTTCCATTCCCAAACATTAATAGAAATATCTGGATGCATCTCTTCTATCTTATTGAATATACGTAAGCAAATTGGAGTAGGCATTGGGATTCCATCTAAATTGACTATATCTAAGTATTGCTTATAATCTTTTTTTGTATATATTCGTTCAAGGTGTTCTGTATGTCCATCTTTATAAGCAAAATAACAAGCTAATGCACCTTGTAGACAATTATTAGATGGCATACCTGTAACTGGATTAATTATTTTTGATTTATCAGAATTGATTGTACATTTGGTATTGGCAAGCTTCTTTAGTGTCGAGATATATGATCCACCAAATGCTCATCGTAAAGTATAAGCTTCAATAGTTAGCATTTCAATTCTTACCAAATTCCATCCTGATCCTGATTTCATAAATAAGTCTATTTCATTATCTATTTCTGATATAGATAAATTTATATGTTCATTGATATCTTCTTCTGTAAGAATAACATGCATAAGGCTCCTATGATAACCAATTATATATGTTGAAATTTTAGATTTGTCTTTTCCTTTGCTAATATGCCCATGATATATATATTAAGCAACTATTGCGGTTTTTATTTGATCTTTTTTCTACAATTCGACTTTAAGTACCCTTGTAATTTGCTTTCTTGCATTTGCTATAAGTTGAGGCATATATGAAACCTCTAAATATTTATTGGGGTTCTCAACATAACAATTAAATCTATATTTTATATTTTTAGAAGATGGAATAATTGCTTGTCATAAACTTATTGCTGTTAAGTTCTGATGGAATCTTAATGGATCAGGAGCAAAACTAGATTCACATTCTTCAAATATTAACTTTTTGTTTGTTAGTCTATAGTTTTTTCTTACTGGTTTACTACCAAAATTACCTTTTATCTTTATGATATTTCTTTTTGGATAGTCATAGAGCAATGATCTACCTAATTCAGGCCATTTTTTATCAGTATTTGTATTATATTTATCTTCCATATTATCAAACCATTCTGTATCATTTTGGGGAAGATTTGAAGAAACATTGTCTGAGCTTTGAATAGGTGAAGAAGATGTGTCATCCAATTGGATTAAATCATCTACCGGAACATAGATTTGAGTTGAAATTTGATTTGTAGCAGAATTTTGTAGTAAAGCTATTGGAGTCTGCGAAGCAGGACACTTTGTGTCTGTAATAGGATTTTGGATATTAAGTTTACATAGAAATTTACAATTTAAGTGTGCATCTCGATCATGAGTCTTTTTGAAATCATCTTTTTCACACCTAGGACATGGAGGTATCATTTTGTATATGCATGCTGGTATTCTATTGTTTGTATTAATATACCAGATCTTTTGTTTAAATTAAAATTATTCATATTTATATACCATGATAGGTGAATATATTTGTGATTATTTACTCAGAACTGGAGTTATTTGTAGATGTACTTGTTGTTAGCCTGAAGGATACCATAAACATTAGAAGGCTAGAAAGCGTTTTTCTTGCAAAGTTTGTAGTAAACCAACTAGCTCTAAACCTGGCCTTTGTAGAAAGCATGCTAATGGATATTATGTAACT